GGGGGGGGGGGGGGGGGGGGGGGGGGAGGGAATATAAAGCTCGCTGTAATTTACACCTAGCTACCCTAGTTCCAGAGGTTGTTCTTGATTTTTCTCCGCGTGAGAAAGAACGAGCACTTATATACCAGCGAGCTTCGCGATTCGTTCTCGCCGCTTTGCCCGTTTCCAACATCTTACTAACATCTCAGTCATTATGCATGAAACTGTACCCCCCTGATATATTTTCTGCGCCCCCACAACTATGAAATGGACGCAGCCTTTCTCGAGCCTTTCTCTTTCTTTCAGCTCCCAGTAAAGAAGTGTTGTACACTCTGCTGGTATAGCAGAATTCCGACTCCACCAACGCTAGAGCCCTGGTGGTTCTGTGGTTAGAACGTCCTATCCAGTATTCGGATGTTCGGCTATTCGTGCATATCATCCGTACTTTTTCCGAGAATCTTCGGTTACGACTTTTAAGGTATTCAAAATTCAATCTCAGTCCCTCTCGATCGATGTGGTTTTGGTGGGTAGAATATAATGCCGACCGTGTCTCAGCCTCATCTCTCGATCATGGAAAAAAGAACATGTTCCCTTTTTAATGATGATCAACTCAGTGGTATAATAAATATGTTAGCTTCCTCGTGAATTAAACGCTTTTTTCATCCCAGAAAATCTGAGGAAGTAAGGTTATGTTGAACTAGAAATCATATAAGCTTACCCCAGGGGCACCCAACTACCGTTTTCTGGGAAATATCTGTTCGGAGCCCTCTAGAATGGCTAAAATTTTCGAGAGCCCAAGAACAGCTAAAAATTTCTAAAATGTTTCGTGGTGACTGTTTGTTGGGCTCAGAGTTTCAGGATTTGTGTGGTTTGTTCACCTAAGAATTTCGGATTTTGTAGTAATCTCTAGATTCTGATTTCGGCACCTAGAAATTTCGTAGCTTTCGTAGTAATCACTAGATTCTTATTTCGGCACCTAGAAATTTCGTAGCTTTCGTAAACTAAGAATAGCAAAATTTCTAAACCCGGCTGACAGTCTCATTAGCGAAAATTTCACACAACTGACTTAAAACCCAACGACCCTTTTCCGAGGGTACCGAAACAAGAACTTCTCGAGCGTCTGGATATCTTGAGAAACAACGATAGCTTTTGTGACGTGACGATCGCACTAAAGGACAAAGAGTTCAAAGCTCACACAGCTGTTTTAGCGGCAGCCAGCCCGTTCTTCCTGACTTCTGACAAGCAACATGAAAGACAGCAACGAGCAACTGATCAAAGTAGAGCTAGAAGAAGCCACTGAAACTGTCATGGAAGACGCGCTAAAGTACCTGTACACTGGGAATGTCACAGTCGTTGAGGACTCCCTTTATTGCGGACACTATAGGGACCTCGAGGTAGTGTCCTCATTAGCGAGAGTCCGTAATAGCGAGAGTTTATTTCAGTCAAACGACTGTAGTTTATTTTTGCCGGGGATTTAGCTGCTGTCCGTATTATCGAGGTTTCCGTTATAAAGGGGTGTCCGCAAGGCGAGAGTTGACTGTAATTGGCCACAGAATAGAGTAAAAGGGGGTAGGGGCTCTGAGAGGCCAGCGGCACACACCCAGCAAAAATTAACTCAAGTACCACCCGGGATTTCTTAGTGGGGGTGTGCTGCTTTGTTCTCCAAATTCTGACCCTATTTCCGGACCAAACTGTTATTTTTCCACACCCGTTTCCAGACCTGTTCTCTATAATCCATACCCGTTTTCAGACCCGGCCTTATTACTTAGATGAGGACGCCAACAAAAAGATTTCTTTAAATATTTTTCGAATTGGCCTATTACTCTCTCTTTCTTATTCATTTGAAATTGAAACGTCAAATATGTTCATACTCTTCCTCGAAAACCATTCCCGATTTCAGACCAAAATGGGAGAAGTCTTTACCCGTTTTCAGACCAAAACGGCGAAAAAAAATACCCTTTGGGGCGAAACATACCTATATGGGTTATATAATAGAGTATCTCCCCCTCCCCCGGGCACAACCTTCTCGAGAGCGCTAGCGCGTTCAGGGAAAACTTTATTTGCCACCATCTGCTGGCTGCTTTTACTTATTTTCATCAGAAAAGCGTAAATTAACCAGTAAAAGGTAAAATGGCTAGAGAACTGGGTGCCCGGGGGAGGGCGGTACTCTGTACTCCCTTAAATGGCCTATACGGGGATGTGCTTTTGGACAGGGTATGGTTTTTGATCTCTCTGTCCTAAACAGGGTATATAAGTTTGTGTGACTCTGTCAACAGGGTATTGCTGGTTTTCAGTGTCACGCCATTCAAAATAGATCAAAATAAAAATCAAAACCGTTCAATAGATAAAGTCCAGAATCTGGAAATGAAAGGAGGTATATATACAAAGACCCTCGCCAAGATTCAGGTCAGAGGAATATTTCGTATACGAGATATCCGAAGAAATGTTTTACGCAAACTTATAGAGATTTGTATGGAGACGCCATGCTGGTGTTCACTTGGATGAGCTCCAACATGGCGGACGGATCTGTTACCGAGTTTTGCTACAAAAGCGTGAATTTATTCCTCGAGAAACTCATAAACATTAAAGTAATACTTTTTCTAATACATGAACTGCTTAAATAGTAAAATTTCCTGAAATAGCAGTAAAAAAATTGGATGTACTGTCGAAAGAACCGGCAGTACATTTACGGCGCAGTGCGTTTTCGAATCTTTAAGTTCGCATGAGATAGTGTTTTGGTTCTTGGGAAAACTTCGCTTTTAAACATACTTTTTTAGTTTTCAGCTGTTCTAATGCACCGTGAAAGTAAAATCTCGGTAGGATCGATATTTTTTTCGTTTGAATTTTAGTGACATCATGTGAAAACTAACAATTGGTTGCACGATTGATTTAATGATTTGCGAGATGAATCTTGTTATGGGTGATAAACTGTTTATCAGGATTAAATACGAGTGACGAAAGTGCAGCGCCAAGCCCATGTATATATATGCAAGCTGCACGCAGGTGTGTGTCACTGTATGCGATTCTAGCCAGCTGTCGCGTTAAACACGATTGTAAGCTTTTTCTTGTCCCATCCCTCCCTGAGGGTATCGCTCGGTGGTCTAGGCAATAAAGACCCAGCGAACCCCAAAGAGAGTTGTTGTATATTCATGTACTCCAAGTATACAAAAGTCTATAACGCGAATTT